GCACCTTTCGCACTACAGAACATATGGACCTAAATGGAGCTAAGGAGTAGCACAACAGCAGTCATTCAGCACATAAGCGCGACAAGACTCAGAGACGACGCGCTCGCCTGACCTGACCAGCAAGATGACATCGCTGGATATGCAACGCACAGCACGCGGTGCCGAGATTTTGTTGCCCTAAAATCATCGCCTAGAGCAACCAGGACACGTGCAAAAAGCTTGCAAGGGGAGCAGGTCACCACACAATGGCTCTCACCGCCGAGGGCTAGGTATGTGCCGACCCAGTTCAAGACTGCGACTTTCCGTCCGAGAATGTTCCGGAAACATGCAGCGAGGCAATGTGCCGATCGAGCCAAGACAGACCTTGCCAACAAAGTGGTTGTCGATGATTGTCGAGTATGTCAAGATGACATCGATGAAAGCACAGCGGCTGCGCAGTGCGATGAGTACACTTGCCAAAATGAGAAAGGCCCTCCTGGACAAGGTCAGGTATGCGGGATGTCCGGATCTTGCTCGCGGACGGAATATTTGTGTGGCGATCAGTCCTATAGGTCAGTGGGAACTATATCGATGTCGTAGAAGGCTTGCAAGAGTCGAATAGCAGATGTTGAATCTGTGATGCGCTTGCTCTTTCATGTCTTTGTAGCATACTAAGAGACTGAGTTGTGAATCTGCGCTGAAATACCTGTTTCCTGTATAAGAGTCGGCGTTTGTACTTTGTCTGGTCTTCCATTCCTCGGCATTCCTCCCAAATTTGTCATATGACCTTTTACGAAAATAGGGGTACCCCTTTCTATTTTGGGAAATACCCATATCCGACTGGTTGCTTGAAGAGACCGGATGACGTTCATCTGACCCATGCAATATCCGCTATACTTCAGCCCCAAGCCTGAGATGAATGCGAAGCGTTCACAGCACAGCCCGGGCAACATGTACTGTCTCTGTACCGGACATGACAAGTTGAGGCAAAGACGTACCAAAAGTCTAGAGATGAGTGCCCGCTTTTGATCCTCCAAGAACTTGAACCGCATGACCTGGCGGCAACTTGCTCAATATCACTGCATGCCATGCTAACGTGCCAGAAGCCCTCAAACACAAATCTTATGTCCAGAGCACCCTGTCGCTCAACGAAATAAGAACGTGCCAAAGCGTCTGCTTTTCTGTCTATCTCCTCCTTGATCAGATGCAGCAAGAACTGAAATTCTTTTCCATCCTTAGTGCGTAAACACACGTGTAGAATGCGCATAACTCGAAGATGAAAACAAGAACAAGCCTTTCTGATCTTTGTTGTTCAAGACTTGAGCTCCTGGCTGATCCACCTTCGGGGTGCCAAGCATCAATGTTGACAGCCTGGCGCCGCATAAGGCATCGTGGCATATCGTGCAGCTCAAGCAAAGCTCTCCGACACCGCTCCAGGGCCACAACCCAACGGTGACGGTATCCCGAGCTCGGTCCGACAACTTCGCGATGCTTGATGGGAAGGCTTAAGGCCTGAACGGAAGGCAGCACAAGGATAGCACAATCACATAGACCTCGGCCGAGTTGGCCAATGTTGGCCAGCTTAGTTCAGAACCATTTTGCCACTTGTTGGCGGCTCAGCCTCCTCTGACTCGTCCTGTCCAGGCGAGGTCAAGTGAAAGCGGAAAAAAGAGAACCAAAAGGGAACCTAACCGAGAGAACTACCCAAATGGCTCTGCCTCGCCTTCCTCCGAAGCAACTCCTTGCCGCTGATCCGCACACTCACCCATCCCTCCTGCCATCGAAGATAAACGACACTTGCAGCGAGATACGAACACAAGCGCGGACACGGGCAGACCTCGGGGCCACTGCCCGCTATTCGACGGAAGTGAAGGCGTTCACCAGACATGTGCAACTCCTCTACCTTCAGGGCATGATGCAATGGTATGCACCATTGCCTCAACACATTGTGCTTAGCCGAAGCAGCGGCATTCATAAACGAAATGGAAGGGCATCACCGAGGGCCCGAGGGAACGAAAACGGAAAGTAAGCTAGCAGAGGAAGGTGCAAGAAAGAGTGTCCAAAAGCGGGGCATGCTAGGCCGGCATGTAAGTATGTTTGACTGATTGCGTTTGCAGGTGCAAGTTCCTCAAATGACTCACATGGTTTTCGCTAGAACGGGTTGTGGCCGAATCTAGTCCTGCAATTGTTGGGGCAGTGATGTTGTTTTTTTATCCGTCCTCGGAGCCCGTGGATAGACGTTGCGGGAGTGCATCTGACGCAAGCTCCTGCCACGACTATTGCTGCCAGAGGTGCCCACACAGAGAAAACATGGTCATGCCACTGTACAGACAACGCTTGAAAAGACAATGGACAATGGACGGCCTGACCTGGCCCCGACGAACTAGGATACCGCCCTTCTCAGAACCTCCAACTACCTCAGTCAAGACTACGCGTCAGAGAAGGGAATAGGGCGAGGGTTTTTTTTTGCATTGGCAACGGCTGGGCTGAGGTTCCTGCAGTCCACCTTGGTGCCATTACCGACAAGGTCTGGCGCAATGCCTGCGGCTAGGTTGGATCTTCTTTCGATGGTATCAGTTTCCTGTCATCTTAGCTCGCTCAGGGAGGTGCACGAAGGGCCGGCAGCACCCTGCAAACGGCCAAGGAAGCAGCGGCGGGCAAGTTACCACCCTGCTGCTTCAGGCCACGTGTCAAAAGCTCTTGTGGAAAAAATTTGCGCAACTTGAGCCGAGCGACATTTGATGATAGATTCTGATGTAGTTTTTGTGCATCAATTTGCTCTCCAACGCTATGCACAAGCAATCGAGTCCAACGAGCGCTTCTCTGCTTTTGGCCCGCGGGCACGCGGTAGCCGCTGGTAGACTGCGCTGCACCAACGCACCGCGGTGAACCTCGGAGGATCCCAAGCGCCGGATGCCAGTGTTGCGAAAGTGTTTCGCGAACTTGTTGCGAGAGCATGTTGCGAACCGGAGCCAGCGCGCCACATATTGAAGGTTTTCGGCAACTTTCGACATCTCGTGACCAATGATCAAGAAGCTTGAAGGTGGGTGCAGGCAGCAGAATTCAGCGTTCCGGCTGACTGTTCTTTGACCGTTATTTTTGGAAAGCGGCTCTAGATGAAAGTGCCAGTGGTTGCATGCCGAAGATAATTTCTTCCACGAGCCAGTTCGACGCTCATTCTGACGTCAAAAACTTGCAAAAAAGCAGGATTTGGAGAAGCAAATGCAGACAAATGCGAGCAGAACTTCGCTCAACGGCGGGAGGCAAAACGGCCGTGCTGCAGACAGTTCAGGAAAGACACACGGAAACTCGACCAATGGGACGTGTTGTTCCACCCTAAAGGAAGCCAATGCAGGAAATGCTGGGGCATTTAAATACCCACAACACCATGACCCTTCCACAACATACCAAAAAAGAAACGCGCAACACCAAGCAAGGGGCGTGTATCTGCGTTCTTTGCAACCCTGTCTCCAGCTTTGCAATGAGAAAGCTGGCACGCTGTGAGCAAGCTAGGGTGGCTGAGGTCATGGAATGTCATGGAGAGGTGCCGGTATTGCAGAGATACGTGCAGGGTTCGCTTTGCCATCATGCGAACTTCTAGCATTCTGGGATATTCTGGGCCTGAGATCAAGGTACCCGGTCTGTGAAAAGGGCTTCTAGCCCTGTCCACAACCACCACACGTGCCGGTGCCTCGCTCTTTCCTTAGCTGCTGCTTCCACCATATGCAAAGCCGTGCTCATCCGTGCTTTATGGCATAACATGACATTACAACTATGACACCGTTTCGCAGTTTCGCACTTCGCGCAGACTTGGGATCTGAACCACGTGCTGGCAAGAGTCGGCTGGAGCAGGCCTGTACCGCCTGCCGGCCGTTGTGGCCGTGTCCCTTGCTTCTCGCTCTTCCTGAAGCGAAGACCAAACGCAGCATTCAATCCAAACATGCGCACATCCACAAAGCCACTGCCAGCAAGCGTCGCTATCAGTTCTGTAGACATCATTTGGAAAGCGGCCTCAGCACACAGACACGAACGTTAGCTCCAGAAGGGCAAGCATTGCTTCAGGCAGTTGAGAAGCCTCCACATTTGTCGCATCTTTGGCGGAGCATTCAATGAACGCAATGCCCAGATCCTGATTCCGCTACAGCCAACGCTGTGATACGCTGTGATACGTCGAGCAACCTAAGCACTTGTCGAGAGCTCTGAGGGCTGCTCTTCTGCTTTTTTCTTCGCCTCCTCGGTGGACACCTGCCTCTCGGCAGTCATGTCGCACTTGTTGCCAATGAGGATCTTGCAGGTGTTCTCGTTCACATAACCTTGAATGTTGATTGCCAAGCCCAACAAATCTTGCAGCAAACCTGAAAACATGCAAAATCCACACACCATTCTTGTGCGACCCGAGGGCGGTTTACTTCATTCAACCACTCATCGACATGATTGAATGATTCCCGGTCACAGATGTCGTAAACAAGGATGATTCCGTCCTGAGTCGTAAAGTTAATTAATTATGAGCACAGTGATGCACAGATGCGATGGACAAGATCTTCGAGCTGAGGTCAACGCAGCGCCGCGATAGTACCTAACTCGAAAGACTTGCATATGTGCACGTCCGCACCCGGCCTGCTTCCTTCCCCCAATCTTATCCGTAGAGATTAGAGATTGCTCATTGCGAAGTTGTCACTCAAGAAAACATGCTGCATGTCAAGTACCGAAGCCGAGAGGGACAGAACTGTTGCACAACATTTCGTTTGCACAACTGTGTTGCAGGCTCACAAAAACGGAAGGTTTTGAATTACCGGAAACCGGATGCGAAAGTAGAGTTGCAGAGAAATCAAATATTCGCCGAGAAATAGAGTACGAATGGCAACACTTGTTGGTTGTTGCCCCCGCAAGCCCGGCTGTTGCTCTGCTGCACGCCTCCTCGCTCAGGTGTCATTGCCCCCGGCCGTTTACGTATCCAAGCTTGCCATGCTTAGAGGGCTTATTCGGGCATAGCGCTTCCCAATCATCACCGGCCCAGCCGGAACACAAGGGTGCAGAAAGAGGCATATGAGGAGTACAGGAGCTCACCATAGGTGACCTAGTGAAAGGAGTAGGTGCAAAACCAGACTTTGCCGGCCCCAGAGTAAGCGTCAATGAAGTTGAGTGTAAGTGAAAGCCCTTAGGAGACAAACTGGTCACAAAGCTGCAAAACCTTGAGCCGACCAAAACACCGCTCTGACGCGGAAAAGAAGTCGGCACCCCTTTCAACCAGTCAAAAGCCTGCTAGTTCAAGAAAAGTTGCAGCTACAGTCCAGACATGTAGATTGCTTGGCAAACCAACCCCATCTACGTGCAGTTTAGCAGCGCGCTGGTGATTGTCCGGAATCTCTCCTGGCCTGCTGTGTCCCAAATCTGCAGTTTGATCGTCCTCGTGCCAACATGTGCAAACTGGCCCTCTCAACGTTGACCGCTCAACAAGTGGAGGGTGATGTGCGTTCCCATCCTTCTCGAGCGTGTGCGTGCGTGCACGTGTGTGTGTGTCCATACATTCATACTTGCACCGAGGCTGTGCAAATTGGGACGATTCGAGCCAATCCGACTGGGGTCGCAGGATCATGATGGATAATGATACAAGAAGTCGCAGCCGGCCCTGGAGTGAACGTTGTCTCTCTACTTGGCCTTTATGCAAATGCACATGCTCTGCTCGCACGCACTTGCAGGCATTGGCGACAGCATGCAACATCAGCCCCCAGAAGCAAGAGTGGCTCTTGTATGAAGGGGCATGAAAGGTTGAAGTTCACATCCGAATGCAGGCAGGACTCTTCTTATCTACAGGAATAGTCTTGAATCTGAAGTCGACACCAATGGTTGTGATGTAGCCTCAGACCAGGCAGGAGCCATCACCATCACTCAGACCAGGCAGGAGCCATCACCATCACTGTGTATCGTTCTCAGTGGGAGGAGGAGTGTCAAAGATTGTAAAAGCAAGCAGCTATCTGTGAAGGCATCGTCTGCAAAGCGCAGCAGGAGGCAGGATTTGCCGGCGCCTGAATCACCAATGAGCACCTGCGTTGCGCATGAGGATGCAACGATGGCAACAGCGCTCCCTTGCACATCTTGCACAAACCGCGTCAGCTCCAAGAGGCCCCATCTGAGTCAACACGCTTAAATCGCTTAAAGCATGGTGTGACCACAGGCACTATAGCAACTTGGGATATCAATACTGGTTACGGTCCAGGAGTACGATAACAAACTATTCTACTAATTAAGAAGTTAAAGAAGTAGAGACTGAAGATACAAGTGTAGAAAGGCCATTTACAACCCCAGGGTCTGGATTTCAGAGCATGTGAACTTTTACTGAGACCTGACTAAAGAGTAGTTGATTTGTTCCAGGGCAGCTGGGGGCAGCTGGGGGCAGACGTGGCAAGGAGCGCATGCACGCACGCATGCACGCACTCACTTGCAGTCTTCACAGAATCTTCAGATTGATGGAGAAGTCTGAGTCGGATGTGATTGTGTTTGGAGGCGTGCTGAAGGAGTGCATGTTGGTCTCGTACGTGTTGGTGTCTTTGCAGCTCCGGCCGTAGTATGTGCGTATGGTGTGTGTGTGTGTGTGTGTTGCGTGTATGTGTGTGGCGTGGAGTGACACGTGGTCGCGTGGTCGCGTGGTCGCGTGGTCGCGTGGTCGCGTGGTCGCGTGGTCGCGTGGTCGCGTGGTCGCGTGGTTGCGTGGTCGCGTGGTCGCGCGGTCGCTTGGTCGCGCAGTCGCTTGGTCGCGCGGTCGCGTGGTGCGTGGTGTGTGGTGCGTGTTGCACGTGGTGTGTTGCACGTGGTGTGTTGCACGTGGTGTGTTGCAAGTGGTGTGTTGCGTGTTGCGTGTTGCGTGTTGCATGTTGCGTGTTGCGTCTTGCATGTTGCGTGTTGCGTGTTGCGTCTTGCGTGTTGCGTGTTGCGAGTTGCGTGATGCATGTTGCGTGTTGTGTGTCGTGTGTTGTGTTGTTGTGTGTTGTTGTGTGTTGTTGTGTGTTGTTGTGTGTTGTTGTATGTTGTTGTGTGTTGTTGTGTGTGGTTGTGTGTTGTTGTGTGTGTGTTGTTGTGTGTTGTTGTGTGTTGTTGTGTGTTGTTGTGTGTTGTTGTGTGTTGTTGTGTGTTGTTGTGTGTTGTTGTGTGTTGTTGTGCGTTGTTGTGTGTTGTTGTGTGTTGACGTGTGTTGTTGTGTGTTGTTGTGTGTTGTTGTGTGTTGTTGTGTGTTGTTGTGTGTTGTTGTGTGCTGTTGTGTGTTGTTGTGTGCTGTTGTGTGCTGTTGTGTCCTGTTGTGTGCTGTTGTGTGCTGTTGTGCGCTGTGCGCTGTGCGCTATGCGCTGCGTGCTGCATGCTGTGTGCTGCATGCTGCGCTGCGTGCTGCGCTGCGCTGCGCTGCGCTGCGCTGCGCTGCGCCGCGTGCTGCGCTGCGCTGCGCTGCGTGCTGCGCCGCGGCGCAGTCCGGCGCGGCTATCTGAACGTACGTGTTTGTGTGTTGTGTGTGTGTGTGTGTGTGTGTGTGTGGGCGCGCGCGTGCGTGCGTGCGTGCGTGCGTGCGTGCGTGCGTGCGTGCGTGCGTGCGTGCGTGCGTGCGTGCGTGCGTGCGTGCGTGCGTGCGTGCGTGCGTGCGTGCGTGCGTGCGTGCGTGCGTGCGTGCGTGCGTGCGTGCGTGCGTGCGTGCGTGCGTGCGTGCGTGCGTGCGTGCGTGCGTGCGTGCGTGCGTGCGTGCGTGCGTGCGTGCGTGCGTGCGTGCGTGCGTGCGTGCGTGCGTGCGTGCGTGCGTGCGTGCGTGCGTGCGTGCGTGCGTGCGTGCGTGCGTGCGTGTGTGTGTGTGTGTGTGTGTGTGTTTTGGTGTTTTGAGTGTGTAGCGAGTAACACGGGATTATGCGTCGGCAGGTTGAAGCGACGAATTGATGTCGAAGCTGTAGGTGTCATGATCATGATGGATGCATCTCGTGTTTTTCTAGGCGAAATGCTACGTTTCGAAGGTTGTAACTGTCGGTTTACCTGGATGACAAGGTGTATGCACACCCACTGAGGCCATGGTCGGCAAGAATCCTTCCAAGTTTTGCATGCCTCTGCTGAAGTCTTTTTGCAGGTGAGCCACCAGCTTGAATAGATGGTCGTAATCACGTTTCATCCTGACAAGGCACTTCCAACCAGCAAAGCACAAACACCTTGCCAGGTTGCCCGGCTTGCAGTATCTATCCACAAGCTCCCAATCGTCCTGCAATCGCCAACCCTCCTCTTTGTCTGAATAGCCGTTGGCCCAGTGCGACTCGAGCCAAGGGCCAAACGCAGAGTACATTAGCAGCATACACCAAAGCTGTATATGACTTGCTCGTGGCAGAGCAACTCGCCTCCTTTCGCCTTCCCTTTATCTGCAGAGGCCGGGGCTGGCTGGGAGATCAAACGTGGGAGATGCGCAGAATGTGGGGAGTTGTCGATGCGCTCACGGAGCCTGGGGGCTGCTTGTTCATGTTCGCAGATCGTCGTTTCGATGTGGTAAGTCCGCAGTGACAGCGAATTAGGTTTCGGATTCAGAAAATACCCCGACATTTGGCAACAAGAACGCCGGAACAGTGCGAACTTCTGTCTCTCGAGACCTCTACAAAGCCACTTGCATGACCTGGGTCCATCTGAAGGCCGGGGAGTCTAGCTGACACACTTCCCCAGAGGCCGAGCAGCGGTGTGTGGAGTAATTAGCGTGAGGGAGATGCATAAGATCAACACCCTACTGCTACTCCTTTCCAAGCATAGCACACTGCGTGCAGGAAGCTTTTTTTTTACTGCTGTCCGGCAGCCGTTCACTGTACACTCCGAAGGCCACTACACATCGCACGACTGTCCAAGTCACTTCGCCTGTTCAGGAAATCATCCATCCTAGCACTGCCCAGACTGTAGTAGTATTTTTGGCCGCTGAAGCCGCTCCAAGCCGCTCTACACCCTCCAGTGACTCGGCGCCCTTGCGATATCATGCGATGGCCCGTCGAATCCGGGACTTATTGGCAAAGCTCTTTAAGAAGACCGCCGCCGCCCGCTGAAGCCAAAGTCCACATGCATCATACGCACATACATACGTATGCAGCACAGGCATATATGTATATAAGGAGAGAGAGAGAGAGAGATCGATCGACTTTTTGGGTCTATTTAGACAGTCGGCTTCTTCATTTCAACTCTTCGGAGTTCCCAAAATTTTAGGTACCTGAATTTAAACAGAGCCTCCAGATTTTGTTCTTCACAAGGCTTTAATTAAACAAGCAGTTTCAAATAGGGAAAATAGTACATGATAATTATACAAATGAATATCTGTTTGCCTAATCAACTTCATTCTCGGGCTCTCCCAAATGATTAAATACCTAGATATTTGAGCATAGACTCCAGATCTAGGATTCCACCTAAGACGTTGATCAATAGATAAAACCAAAAAACGAACTTCTTTGGTTGTTTTAAATCTGCGGCTCTCCCGAATAATGTTGACTTCACATTAGTGAGTCCCGCTACAATAATAAAATCCCGGGGGCCGGAACACAATAATATCGGCCGCCACAATTATAAAATCACGCTTGTTCATAATTTTTTTTAACCCTCAACCCTAAAACGCTTAACCCCCCAAACCACCACCACCACCACCACCACCACCACTACCACTACCACTACTATTACTACTACTACCAATAATAATAATAATGATGATACTAATGCTAATACTAATACTACTACTACTACTACTACTACTACTACTACTACTACTACTACTACTACTACTACTACTACTACTACTACTACTACTACTACTACTTCTACCACCTAATACTAAAACTAATAGAAAATCCTACCAGGATTTAGGCGAATGCAGTTGAGGAGGCCCTGGCCGAAAAGATTGATCAACCAAGGGGGGGGGGGGGGTTTATTAATGTGAAGTCAGCATTAAGTAAATACTCAAACATTGAATCAGAGCCTCCAGACCTCGGATGTCCCCTTGATGTTTATCACATATTCAATCATTTAGGTATGCAAACCATTCCGCTTTTCCAAATACTTAAACAACTAAACAAGTCGAAATTTAGTCAGAGCCTCCAGTATTTAGTGCAAGCCTCCAGATCTCGGATTTCACCAGATTTAAATCACTCAAATATTTAAACAACGAAGTGTTTAGATAATTGATGAGATTTTGTTCTCATGCAATGAAATCCAAGATCTGGACGCCTGGGCTGAATTTTTGCTAGCTAACTTTAAATTGTTGAATTATTTGGGTGAGTCGGAAAATAGAATAGTTAAAGCAAAGAGTTATTGCAGTTGTGTATTAGTTCTATCTAACAATCTAGGGAATTTGGAGATATGGAGGCCAGGACAATATATTTACATCATGAGCAAATTCTTAAGAACCAGAAAACTGAAGAGTAAGTATTCCAGTATTTAGAAATTTTGAATCTCCCGCTCTCCCGAATAACCACAATCAAATACTCAAATAGGTAAAAAGTTTGTCAGGGCCTCCAGGTCTGGGATGATTTACCTAGGTTTTAGCCAATTAAGAACTTAATGCAGTTAAACTAACTAAACAGTTCAGTGCTTAAATTTCTGACTATTCGATCTCTGCGACTTACCCAAGCAATTACATAATTAAAACAACTAAGTACTTAAAGATTTAAGCGTTAAGCAAAACCCCCAGGTCTGAGCGTTTACTGGTTTTAACAAATACATTTCTGGAAGAATTAAACTGCAATTACCTATCTAACGGTAGACTATTTAAGTACTTCAACCTCAACAATTGCATATCTACGTATAATTAATGAACGGTTGTTAAGCCTTTATCGACAAAAACCTGTGAACAACAATCAGTCGAGGCCCAAGCCAAATACCATTTGTTGCGGCTAAAAAGTCACTCCCGCAAGTTTTCCTGGTTCTTTGCCCAGATTGCAGATTTCCCTTTTGACGTCCTGGTCCTCCTTCTCCATTTCTGTGCGGCTTTCCCTTACACCTTTTTCCGCATCTCACGGGCAACAGTACGCATCTTCAAAAAAGCATATATCTCCATCACCGACTCCGTGAACAAACCAATTTTACATACTTCAAGGGTGCTGTCTGACGCAGCTGACAGGTGAGTGACACACTGCAGGTGACAGGTGAGTGACACATTGAAATCAAAATTCCAGTCGCAAGCCCTGGCACCTAAGATTTCTTGCTCAAGCCGTCTTCGACATTCATATCGCAAGCCCTGATCCCTAAATCGTCATTGCCGAAGTTGTTTTCAATATTCTCAAACCGGCCCAACAATGCAACAAATTGCTTTAACGAATCGATTTTGTTGTTGCCCGTTTCAAGTAGGCCGTTTAAGACAATAACTGAGGTGAGCAAAATGTTTTTGTTGCTCAAGGCTCTTGTATCATTCTCTTGTTCGTTTCAAGTAGGCCCCCTCAAGGCAACAACAAAAAAATGTTCCGCTCCACGCAAATGTCGTCAGCAAAACAGGGTTTTTGCTTTGCCCTTTCAAGTACACCCCGTTCACAACAACAAACGGGATTAACAAAATAGCTCTGTTAACCCGCTTAGAGGTGATTGTCCAACATATCAATCGCAAGCCCTGGTCCCGAAGATTTTGGTGGAAGTTGTCTTCCAAAAACAACAAAATATCAAATCGCAAGCCCTGCTCCCTAAGTTGATGGCGAAAGTTCTCGCCTAATGTATTGAATCACAAGTCCTAGTCCCTGAGATTGCTAGCGCAACTTGACTTGCGAAAAAAAAATCGCGAGCCCTGCATTCCAAACCCGAAATTGCAAGCAATGGTCCCATCAATTTCGTTTCGAGAAAAGAGTTCAACGTCGTGTCCACTGCATTTTCTGATGAAATCTCAAATCGCAAGCAATGTGTCCCCTCATCCTTAACTCTCTTTAAACTCGACATCGCAGCCAGTGCCCCCAGCATTTGTCTTTCGCAACAGTTATGAAGATGTCAGTGTCCTTATGACGTTTTCTAAGCCGTGTCTCCCCCCTTCTTTTCTGCTTCCAACGATCTCCAAACCCTCAATCGCAAGCAGTGTCCCCAATTCTCTCGGGATCCTGAATCGCAAGCTGCATCCCGGTGGCCTTTTCTGCTGCCATTTTTCGGCCCCATTTGCAGACACGGGGGTTTCAAAAAGATGAACTTAAGGGGAGCCGGAACCCTGAATTCGGAACCCTAAAGAAGAAGAACAAGAAGAAGAAGAAGAAAATGATAAATCAAGAGCCTGAACCCCTGATCCCTGCAGATGCTTTGGAACAAGCTTGCCTTTCCTTATCTGATTTTAATGTATGTCTTTAGTTCTGTATTTATTGATTTTCTTGCTTTCTTTGGTTCGTTATTTCGTTCGTTCGGCCGTTTTGTTTCTTTACTTAATGATTTATGTCTTTATTTGTTTTCCTTTCATTTCTTCTTTATGTCTGGCTTTTTTTCTTTCTTTCTTTGTTCCCAACCCTCGGTGTGGGGTTGTTAGATTTTGAAAACTAAACTCTGCTCCTCGCCCTGTCTGCCCCTCGCCCATCACCCGTATCATCCCCAGTGTCCCTGGAGTGCCCCAACCCAGAACAATCCACATCTGTCGGGTTGGGATGGTTGAAGAAAAAATGTGTTTTTTCTTTACTTCTTTCTTTACTTCTTGCTTTCTTTCTTTCTTTGCTTACTTACTTCTTTCTTCTTCTCCTAGTCCAAACCTACGGAAAGGAACGATTTCCTCTCAAAATACAAAGGGAATAAAATAAGAAGTTTCCTAGGAAAAGCCTAGAGAATAGGCCCGTACAAGAAGGCCCTCCAATTGGAAATGCCAAATCGGTAGGCACGTCCGCCGTCTTGCTGATAAGGCCTCTCGAATCCTAAACTGTAAGCAGTGTCCCGAGGGGCATACCATCGGGGATCATCGGGGGCATGTCATCGAGGGGTGGGGGATGGGTAACCATGAGGAGGAACCCCTTTTGGCACCGCAGGCTACGTCGCTACGTGCTGCGATTCTAGGGCTATGGCGAGAACAGCAAACCCGAAAAATCTTGCGGATCAGGCCGTGAATCAGACTCGCCCGTCCCTGCTGTGACAGCGAAGAACCGGCTCACCTGCTTGTTCTGCAGGTCCAGGCCCTGCGTGTGCAAGATGGCTGAAACTGTGTCGGCACAAGGCCGGCAAATGTGATCAGGATTTGTCAGGGCGTGCCATGCCCATTCGTGCCTCATGTTCACTCCTCCATGACGAAGTAGCTGCCTGCCTGTTTTTGCTCCCGGTCCTGCACCAATGCGACAGTCAAAAAACAGAACAACACAGCACCATGCGCCAACACCTGCACATACTGTACTTCGTGCAGTGTCCAGTTTCTGCAATGGTCAGGCATGCTATCCCAAAGGACCACAACCCATCGACAACGGCCCAATAAAGAAATGCGAAAGCATGTGAAAGCATATTCTAAAAAAACTTCACCCAGCCTTCACTGACTCTGCTTTGTTGATTCGAGGGCGGTAGTTGGTTGGATCCCTTCCTGCAGGCGGATGCCCTCACCAAGTGCCACAGCCGTGACCAATTAAAAGCAAGGTGCGGAAGGTGATCTCCAGCTGCGCCAAGAACTTGTTCATGCCCTGCCCAGCAGAGGCAAACCAGCCATTCCAGCGATGCAGAACCGAATGTGCTACAACAGTGGTGGGCTTGCAGGCGTATTGTCAAAGGGACTTTAAACGCTTCGGGCTGCCGAGGTTTAACAGCCCCTCGTAGTCACCAAGTGAGCCTAAATGAGCCTCTCACGTAGGCGTGAACTGGAACTGTTTGTGGTTTCCTCTAGGCTTCCCTGCTGCGAATGGCGGCTCGTGCCCATGTCAGCATCATCCAGTAGGTTTTCCAGTAGGTTTCCTTAATTGCGAGTGCCAAGCCTCGAGCAGCGACATTGGAGCCGATGCCACGCAATGGATACCGGGCCTGAAAATTCTGGCGCGAGATTGGAGAGAAGAAGATGTCGACAGCACGTGGAACCTAAGCCCAATACTTGCCATCGTAAACTATGACACGGTCCGCCAAATACCTGATCGTTGCAAGCAGAAAAGAAAGTCATAGCAGGTGAAGGAAAACATCACAGTCATGCAGGAATGAAAGGCCCGGGTAGTCACGTAGCCATGATGAAGTCATGCTCGACAATGAAGGCAGTCTTCTTGGCATGCAATATGAACCTCTCATGCAAACTGCAATGATCTGCAATGCTCTGCAATGCACGCATAAGCAATCAGAAGGTGTTCGAGCCTTTTCATCACCCGTGCCGCAACAACACGCTGCTCCACATCCAGATACGCAGACGGCTCATCGATCAAGTAGATGTCAGCCTCAGCTCCATGCTTTCGCAACATTGCAGCTTCAAGAAATGCTGCCTGGCAATATCTGGCAATCAAGACCAGACTGGAAATGTCTGACAAAACCATGGCATGACTACATCAATCTGATGCATCCATCTGAGTACGCAGTGCAACGGTACGAGACTTCATTCGGGAAGGCAGCATGCCGCGGCATTTGGTCATCTGAGCGACCCCTACCAGCCCTACCCCTAGCCCCCGTTCCCGTTTATAGAGGGTACACAAAACCCCGAAGTTTGCCGGTGACTTGTGGACTTCAGGTGAAAGCGACGCTCATGGTAGCCTTGCGCGCCTCTGAGGCAGCCTACCCCGTCAACCTCCGCGCATCTCCTCCGTCAACCTCCCCGCACCCTCCGCGCGTCCTCTCCGACCACTATCCTCCCTGTTAACCTTCACAATGTCAACCTCCCCGTCAACCGTTGACGGCCTCCTGCCTGCCATTGTCAAAAAAAACGTGATATCCGACATTGCGCCCCTCCCAGAGGGATTTTCGGGAAAAAGATGTTTGTGGCGCCACGCCCCCCCGCCACGCCCCCGTCACGGCCCCGATCTCTCCCCTCCGGCCCCGGCCTATGCCTAAACGAGAATCCAACATCCGAGATGTTTTCGGAGAACAAACGTGATATGTACACGTATGATCACGTATGTACCTTGATTTAAGTGCTCAACTGCGTCCTTTTATGGTATGAGTCTGTTGAGAATACAGGAGAACACGGGCAAAGTGCTCCTTGCACAATTCTCACAACAGTGCCAGAAGCCATTGCAGCTTACAGGCAACTAGCTCAGAGCTTGTGCGGAGGCCTGGGTTGACACAGGTGGGGTTTTAAAATGTGTTAGCCCGCTTAGCGCTCTTGTAACAACATCGACCTGGCACATTGATCGCTCCCACTCCAGTAAGCATCTGGCGGGCTTGCCCAAAGCCAGCACAAGTGCGACCTTATCAAATCCAAATGTATGGACTGAGTTGCATGGACAGGCAGACGTGTTACGGCTGTTACGGCCAATACGAGCAAATGGGGGGCAAGCCCGTTGTAGCTCACCGCCACTGAGAGTCTGCACCTGCGACTGCACGAAACATCGTCAAACATCGTGGAACACTGTGAAACATCCCCGTGCCCGATCACACATACTAGGAGGGACTTCATCATCTTCATCGTGCATACTGGAGACTGGCAACTGAGCCTCATGGTCTGCAATTTGATCGATGAGCATGGGCTTTGTAACGTCCGTTTGGAACTGTGGATGCATGAACCTTGCGACATTTTGCGACATTGGACTGGCTCTTGCCTCTAGACTCTAGCTCAATGTACACTCTACCAGTGCAGATGCGGAGACGCATCGCGGATCTTCATCAAGAACAGGTCCTGAGACTCAATCAATCACACGGCGCTATCTGGGTCCTGCCTGCGCAGCATCCGGCCTTCACAGTGCCTTCAAACTTTGCACTTATCGTCTGCGGTTTGTAGGAGACCTTGGCAGGCAATTTATTTGCCCTGCCCAACACAGACTCAGCTGTCCCAGATTGCCTCTTGACCGCTTGCGTTGGACCTTCGCGTGCATGTAATGCTGAGAAAGTAAGCTGCTCACATTAAGCTTCGGAATCTCCTCGCCTCACAACCACAGAAGCCGATCATGAAGTTATGTACTCAGTGTATTACAACGTGACGTGGGCTGCCTTGCATGTTAGAAGCTCAAAGCATGAAGCAGCTGCCTTCTTTGATGTCATCCGGATTTAACAATCCAGCCAGCATGCGGATGAACGTGGTCTGCAAGTTCAGCAGGATTCAACCAACTGCAGATGCTCAAAGCAAGATCGAAAAGTTCCGTTGGTCGATCCTTCCCGCAGCCGTTCTGGCCCAAAAGAACCAAGATCTCTGAAGATGCAAAGTTCCCTGCCTGGAGCAACGGATGTTTTCACTACACAGTGCAAATACAAGCGGAATGCAACTCCCTCGCACTGCTGCACAGTTCGCATTGCTTCGGATGTGTTTGTGAGGCACCGTGTCTTTTGTGCAAGCCGGTACACCTGGTTTTTGACTTCCGAGCCCAGTGGCCACGCTAAACAGGCAGAAGCAGGATTTCAGATGAAAAGCACGCGTTGCCGGATTCCTGTAAGACTCCAGGTGAGGCGCCTCGCTCCGATGAGGAAACCCCGATCAAAGCATGACGCAAGTCCACACACGGCGGAAAGTATGCACCAGAACCGCAAAGAAAACAGGACCCAGGATCCGCGTCGATGGCGTGAATGGCGACATTCGACAGGGTCATCGGTGCGAGCGTGCTGTCTGCGTGCGAAGTGCGCTGTCATAGAGTTCCACAGTGGACGGCATCACAAGAGCTCCGTGCGGGAAGACTAAGTCGCACCGGGCTTCGTGCCATTGGTGCCAGTATCTCGGATCTCGGAGCGGGTGTGTAAAGTAGTGTAGAACATCCGAAAAAAGTAACCCCACGCGCTATGCCCTAGCCCAAGGCTCCTTTCGGAGAGTAGCTTTCAATTTTGTGTGGGAAGGCTTTGCGTGGTAGGTTCGGCCCAATCCGATTGATTTTTCGCACGGGGTTTCGGAGCTTTAGTCGTTTCATCCTAAATCAAACTTACAGCCTGGACATCAATGTCGGGTGTGGACTATGACGTTGGCCAGAGAAGTGTGCATTCCAAGAATGACTATGTACAGTAATTACCTGACAGAGGAGGCCTCCAGTTTGTTGGGTTTCCCCGGAGACGCCCCCAACCATCCCACAACCCCAAGCCTTCAACCCTAAGCTAGCAGCTCCGCAACAATTGTCAACATCTACAATTCCGCCCCAGAACCCTCTACACCATGTAGCTTACAATCCGGGGTACGAAGATAGGGTGCACAGCATTAGGGCATAGAGTTTAGGGTTTACGATTGGCCTGGGCTGGCGATTCCCAAGGCCCCGTACATCACTTTGTTTTTGGTGTCACCCCACCCTCCCCGAATCACTTTTCGTTTGAATTATGCATCCCTTCTTCTTGCTTGGCTCGGCACTATCTACATGCCTGCTTCCAAAAACTTCCTCCTTCCTTGATGAAGCCTTGATTTAGTGTCTGTGAGGGTGCCCCGGATTCGGGAAAAGTTGCCGATTCTAGCAATAATTCTGCATTGATTTAGAAATGACACCAAGAATTTGCAGGTTTTTGGGCTTCCACAGGCTTGAAGGCTGCAAGAGGGTTCTCAGGCTCTTTGCTGGCGGGGGAGGGAAAACCCCAAACGAACCATCCGGCCGACAGCAACCCCCCCAAATGGGCAAGCGTCGCAGGGCCAGGACACAAAAAAAAACCAGAAGCACCAAAAAAACGTTTTGTGGGCACGCTGCCAAGGCCACAGCTTGGGGATGCAGCAGGGCCCAGGACTCCCTGGTCGGGGAACCTGGGGTCTGCCCCCTCGGGCTCCAAACCCCCACACCAAAATGCCTTAAATTGTACATAGCTAGAGAGGGCTATGGCCCGGTTATGGCATTGGGGCTTAGGGTTTTAAAGGCTTCGGCCTGAGGGTTTAGGGTTTAGGGTTTTGTTTGAGGATGTTTGGACATTAAGTAGGGTTTAGGAAGTAGGGTTGCGGATTTAGGGTGTAGGGCTTTCGATTTAGGCATAGCGCGTAGGGCATTTACGGCTGCCATGCGCATGTCAACAAGCGGGCGTGTCTTTTAAGCAGACGCGTCGGCGCAGACTCGAGATACGACAGGAATTGTGTGTCTTGGGCTAACAATTGTTTTAGCCCTAAGAAATCTCTTCTGTGATCGCTAGAAGGGGCGGCGTGGTCGAGGTAGTCCGCTAAAATTTGGAGGACGGATTCTACGTTGAGTTCCAACCAGTATCTATGGGGATGTCCTCAGCCTATCCTTATATCATGGTGAAAAAACAACATTATGCAATGGATCTGATGGTGGTGTAGCAATGACCCTGGCCAGTTGTTTAATTGTTGTGAGGTAAGGGTCTGTGAAGGCAGTGTAGGTTTTCCAGCCTGCTCCCACACTGTTCGATTGGTGATGTGAGAATAATAAGATGATTTGATGCCCATGGCTCTGCGCATGTATTGGCAGTACCATGCGTCTACGGGAGACTAGTGTAAGAGTATCGAGGCCGTTTCTAAGACTGGGGACGATGGTTGTATGAACTAGCTTTACCTGTCTGCTCGGGGTGCGCCAGTATTGCTGCAATTTCACGTACGCCTTATGCGCCTGTGTTTTGCGGCGTAGCATTGCGGTGGGTGTCGGTCTTTGCCAATCTACCATTGTGCCTAAATACTTACATGTGTCCGCTTCTGGTACTACCGTTCCGTCCGCGTACAACAACTTACCATCAGTGCGCAGCGTGTGCTTGAGCAATTGTGTTTTTTCGAGGTTTAGCCCTCAGCCATACAGTGTAGCCTCTGCTTGTAGATTTGCAAAAACTCTGTTGCCTGCGATCTAGTAATTGCCACGAGTAAGGCGTCGTCGGCATACTCGAGATCGTATGTCGGTTTACCGATTGACCATGTATTGGTGGGAACGCCCGACTGTCTAAGTCTAGTGTCAACATCATTTAATAGGACCGTCATTACCATGATGAACAAGTAAGCGCGTAGGGTTAGGGTTTGGGGCTTAGGGCATAGCACGTGCGGTCTAAGGTTTGGGGTTTAGGGTTTAGTGTGTAGCCGTGTAGGGCTTAGGGTTTAGGGCTTAGGGTTTAGGATTTTGGATTTGGGCATTCGGGTTTAGGGTTGTGGCACTAGGGTTTTTCGCGCGTGGGGTTTCGGGTTGGATTTGGGCATTCGGGTTTAGGGTTTAGGGCTGCGGCAATAGGGTTGGCTTTAGGGTTTTGGGTTTCGGCCTTGTTGTTAAAGGTTTAGGTTGTACAGTGTGGGGTTCAGGGTTTCGGCCTTAGAGTATAGGGTTTTGGATTTGGGCATTAGGACTTCAGGTGTAGTGTTTCGGTCTTAGGGTTTCGGGATTTTTGATTTCAACCATGAAACTGAACAGCCTCAGTTTTGCTTTTACAGTTCTGAAGTCACATTACTCATATACTGCAAGTTCGGCCTTGACACATTGTAGTGCTAGTAGTAGTAGTAGTAGTAGTAGTAGTAGTAGTAGTAGTAGTAGTAGTAGTAGTAGTAGTAGTAGTAGTAGTTGTAGTAGTAGTAGTAGTAGTAGTAGTAGTAGTAGTAGTAGTAGTAGTAGTAGTAGTAGTAGTAGTAGTAGTAGTAGTAGTAGTAGTAGTAGTAGTAGTAGTAGTAGTAGTAGTAGTAGTAGTAGTAGTAGTAGTAGTAGTAGCAGTAGCAGTAGCAGTAGCAGTAGCAGTAGCAGTAGCAGTAGCAGTGGCAGTAGCAGTAGCAGTAGCAGTAGGAGTAGTAGTAGTAGTAGTAGTAGTAGTAGTAGTAGTAGTAGTAGTAGTAGTAGTAGTAGTAGTAGTAGTAGTAGTAGTTGTTGTCGTAGTAGTAGTAGTAGTAGTAGTAGTAGTAGTAGTAGTAGTAGTAGTAGTAGTAGTAGTAGTAGTAGTAGTAGTAGTAGTAGTAGTACGGTGCAAAGCTGCGGTTTGCCCGCGCTCTTTTTCTGGAGGCACACAAAACATGCGGCTTTCGCTGGGTTCCGGAATTTTGGAATGGGGCGGGTTGCCCGCGCTCTTTGTCTGGAGCTTTTTTGGCGCGATGTTTCTGGTGTCCTAAAGCC